AATGCGGCCACATGCCTGCAGTGGCTCAAGCCAGAAACTGGGGGAGGGGGCTAGAGCATTACATAGCCAGCATGGGTTGTGTGTTCGCTTCCTCTTCCTGCTGCCGTGAGGTCTCTGGAATTTTCAGTCCACAATCATAGCAGCAGGACCTTGCATGGTTGCTCATCACTTCCTCTTCCTGCTTTCAGGTGCCTCTGGGATTTGTAGTACACAGGCACAACCAGCACTAAGTAAGCCAGCAGGGCAGGGCAGCTTTGTACTCGGGGGAAGGTGAGTTTAACTCCCCTCCCTGGCCCCAGACCCCTAGCTGGGGTTTGCCTGGAGGGGCCAGTAAGCCAGCCCTCACTGCTCCAACTAGGGAGCATAGGGGTGGGGCCAGCCCTGCTCTCTGGAGCAGACAGCACAATCCAGCCCAGGGCTGGAAAGCATGCTGGGAGACTCTGATTTAACTTGAACCATGAAGGGGTCTGGGACAGAAGTTTTATAAACTGGTTTGACCTAAAGTCTGATACTACATTCAACCAGGATTATCATAAACCAGTTTCAGCCATTTTGAAACTGGTTTATGTGCACTGAATTTCTGTTCAGTTACAGGTATCAACCAATTTCTGATCACTTAAACTGTGTAACTTCTGTCCCTAGCCCAAGAAATTTTCATAGTCAACCTTTCCAATTCTGACTTATTAACCCAAATTCTGCTTAATCTGCTACCACTTCACTCCTCTGTGATGTCTTTTCTGACCTCTTGGTTGCAGGTTGAAACTATCAACCAATTACTGCTTTTTATGCATTCCAATAGTACAACAGTCATGATGGTTGTGAAAATTCGTAAGTTGTGGACCACTCAGGACTGTTGGTTGCTGGCAGTGTTCTCTTATGAATCTGATAGAGACCAAAACCATTTGATGTGCTGTTTACTACTTTGTCCAGAGGCAAAAGGCATTTATCAGAGCTTGAAGTAAGTTAGCATTGTATTTTAGGTTTTCTTCCTGAGTTGGCTAAAATTTTTGTTTTTAAATATGAAATTCTACCTTCCTTACATACATCTGGGATCTTAGCCTAGCATTAACAAAATCCCTACTGCTCCTTTCAATTGCCCAAAGAAAGTCTCAAGCAACACTCATGTCTTTCTAGCAGAGAAGGTTTTAAATCCTTTTCTTCAGGTATTGATTAAGCCTGTACCAGATTTCCATCCTAGAGTACTTTTTCTCTTTTCAGTTGGTTCAGAAAGAAACATTTTCCTATTCTTTACTTGATTGTCTGAGGTTTCATAGACTTCTCTCTGAATTACCTAGTACTGGGACTACCAGAAGTAAGATCCCAGAGCCAGACAGTTCATTTATCTGATCTGGGATGGAGTTGTATGCATACACACTGAATTAGCAGTGATGGTGAGCATTGTTCATATAGTCTATATATTATTTTGATTAAGGTAATGTTAAAATATTCATAAATAGAAAATATAAGATAAAATAATAAAAAATATGGAAATATTGCTGAGACAGTATTTGCTGTGAATTAAAGGTAACAGCATTTAGTATGAAGGACGTGTTTGCATGGTTTTTCAAGGAAATCAAGAGATTCAATTTGTACAAGATGTCGACAAATATTACTTCTAAAGTATGGATTACAGTGCTTATCTCTGTATTTATGATCTGAAAAGTCATTCATAGTTCCATCATAAAGGTCTTTTTTTCCTTTCAGAGGCATATGCTATTATGTTGAAAAATAGGTCCTAGAGCACTAACAAAGAATGGCTAGCCTTTACACAGAGAAATTGTCCACATATACCCACTTACATGAGAGGAAGTTGGGAAAACAGTTTGGTGCCACATATACAATGGTGAAGATACTAGTGAAATATTGGTTCTATAACTATAATTCATTACACTTTCTTTGATCCTGTGTTACAAATTAGGGTCACTCGTGTCAGGAGATTAAAACCTTTTGTCTCTCTTTGATATCAAATTGCTCCTTTTCATTCCCTTTTACCTTGCAGACCAGTGTTATATTCTATAGCATCTTTGCCCATTCATTCAAATTATTGCAGCAGGCATTTAATTGGTTTAGAAATAATATTATCTAGATATGTTATGGTATTGTTTTAACAACATAGTATATTAGAAATCAAAATAATATTTATAAACTCTAGGGTTAGTTGGGTGAGAGAGAAACCACAAAGAATACCATAGTGGAAGTGTGGGGTAGCTAAATTGGATAGAAAAAGAAAAAAAATACATACAAGTCAAAGTAATATTGTACATCAGAAAAACTACAGCAATCTACTGAAAATTAGTAGATGATAGTCATGAGTAGCTTACAGTGAGCCACGGGTACCAGCTTCCCTGAAGCACAGAAATAGGAACTTGAAGAAACTTGTAAAAGGTGTCCTCAGGGAATCTTCCATTTTTTCACTATGATACCTTTAATCCTAGAATTGTCAAACCACATGGAAAATAATAGGACTGAATAGTTCAGTCAGTTAAAAGTTAGTATTATTTCTTTTATAAAAAATATTGGGTCTTTTTGTGTTTCCGGAACTGTTAGGATTTGTATAAACTTTAAAAAAGTGAAGTCAAGTATTGAACTTGTATTAGCCTTTTTTTTATTAATTTAAGATCATTATCTCTAAGCAGGCACCATTCAATTGGGAAAAAAAGAACTTAAAGCTAACATTTTTTTTAACAGATGATTCAACGAGAAGCAGAAGTAAAGAATAAGGTAACTGCTGTGGCGTTGACAGACTCTGTTCACAATGTGTGGCATCAAGAAGCTGGCAAAACTGTTCGAGAATGGATGCGAGAGGTGAGAATGGTTTTAAGAGTTTAAGAGGGGCATACACTATTATGAATGACTCTCTCAACTTTTCTTTATCAACTGATCTCTTCCATTTGTTTAAGCTACCAAAAAGAATACTACTAAACTGTGCAGTATCCCTTCACCTGCTTCTGAAATAATTTAAATTACAAACATTTTTTAATTCTGAAGTCACCAGTCAAAACAAGTACAAAATCAACATCCTTTTCAGCTCTGCAGCAGTGCATAGACAGATATCATCATTTTAAAAAGATGATCTGATACTGGAGCAGAGATCAGGGAAGCACTGAGGACTCCTAGGGCGCCTATACATGTGCAACAAGGCTCCTTCGACATGCTATAATTACAGTGCATCAGATTAGACTCAGTTAATCTGGAGCATGGTAATTACTGCACTCCAGCAGACTCCAGCATCTCACGTATCAGCATCCCCATGCTGAAAAATGGTGGCAGGGTGCTTTAACTAAAGCTTGTTCAATGAGCTTTAATTAAAATACCCCCACTGCCACTTTTCAGCACAGAGACACTGATACACAAGACACTCTGTGCACTTCAATTAGAGTGGCTCTCAGAGCTGCTCTAATTAACACCCCCCCTACACACACACTCCTGGAGCACATGTACAAATGCCCCTGGATTCTGTTTTTGCTCACTTTGTGATATTGGGCCAGTTCCATAACCTCCTTATGCCTCACTTTACTGATCTCTAAAAATGTTGTACATTTTTGTATTTCATACAGGTATTATGAGATGTAATTGTTTCTAACTTATTTAGAGATTGCCTGGTGAAAGGGTAAAGTATTTTTATTACTGCTGTACTATAGAAACTACTAGTTGATCTAAGATTAATCGGATACTGGTTTATGGCCAACAAGCACTTTCTTTCTGCAGGGGAAGTATAATGAATTGCATTCATTATTCATTTGAAGATTTAAGTATGGGATTGCTAAGATTGAAAAAGAGAGAGAATTTGTAATGTGAGATCAACTAAAGTGTTGTTGTGAATCTGTTTTCCTGGTCAAATAAAGGCCATACCTTTGTCATTTGGAATGTTTTCTGTGTTTATCTAGTCCTATTTTCAAATTTAAAACAAAAAGGGTATGTTGGTAATATAGACAAAGTAATCTTTTTTCTTCTTAAGAATGAGTTTTTATATGGATTTAGTGAAACCTTGTTTATAGACTGACTGTTTCTGACTTAACCTTACAGTTTTATAGGCCATGACTGATGGGAATAGAGAATCACCTGGGATGTAGGTTGACAGCTCTGACTTAAATGTTAAAAATATAAAGAATGGGAACCCCTGCAGGTCCTGTCAGAAAAATCCCCATTTCTTTAGGGGAACTAAAACCCTTAACATATTTGTTACATGGTTAAAATGGGCATTTTAAATCCTATAATTTGAGTCTGACAAGTCCATTTTTCTTTAAACATTTAGTCTGAATGAGACAAGTGCATTACGTTTAATTTCATTTACAGAAAGTAGATCTTAAAGAACAAGTTAAATGATTAATGGCCTAAAATGTGGATGGAGTGTCATAACTTAATTTAACATTCAAAATCTCCTATAAGAAGTACTTTTACATATGTGAAGTGTAGGTGAGTGATGTTAAGACTAACATTTCACCTGCATATCTCTTATTTTAATCAGGATTACAGCTACTGGTAGAATGAATAATAATTAAAATACACACCTGATCACTGTCTGTGTAATGCTAAATGCTGCCATTGAAAGAATGAATTGTTAAAAAAATCATTCTTCACTGGAGCTATCTATCCTGTATCACTTGTGGCCTATTTATAGTACCTATAAGAGTTATGATTTTTGAATTTATTAGCAGCTGTGATGAATGATAAAACAAACCATCGATTTACATATCTTAACACTGCTTTCAAGAATACTTATTTCTTACAGGCAAGTGTCACCCTCTATATAAAAGCTGGTTAATTGTGTGCTAATCTTTTTTATTATCTCTAGCTCTCTCATGTAGTATTCTATCAGTAGTTAATATTAATTTTAAGTATTTAAAATGAATGTAATACCTAATGAAAATTCTACTTCTTTTATCATTTCTACCAACTTACATTTACAATTTTACTTTCAGCTGTTAATTAAAATTAGGCATGCAAATTATGAAATGTATATTCATTTTAAACCTTAAAGACTTTGTGAAACACAGGAATACTACCATTTTAACCATTTTGACTAAAAAAGATAACATTACTGGATAGTGTGTTTGTTTTCATGTTTTTTTCCACACAGTTCAATAGTTTCATTGATCTACTGTTTCTTACAAAAATCTGCCATGCTTTGTGAACTTCACTTTCTAATCTCATACAGCAACCCTTCCTTTATGTTGTTTCTGCTCTCCCTGGTCCCAGAACAGTAGGGTTGCCTTGACAAATCTATTCAAAAGCCATTCCTCAGCCTTTATTGGTGGGGACTGAAGCCTTTGAAATTTTCTTCTCGCTGCAACACAGCTGACATCTTCTTCCAGACAGAATGAATTAAGGAAATACAATAAGACACTTGATCTACCAGTCAAGGATCTTTCCACAGTGAGGACGGATTCCATGGTGCACAACTAGGGCAGCAAGCATTTAAAAATACACAATACATGCTTGTTTACCAGAATAGCAATCAACCATTTTAGCAAACATGATTGATGGGATGATTTTTTAGAAATCTGTCTGGAAATTCATTGGCTCCTTCCAGGAAAGATTGTTTTTGTTTCGTTTTGTATTTTTTTTAAGAGAAGTTAATCAGATTTTCAAAAAGGAAAAACTCAGAAAGAGATTTATAACTTTGACGCTACAAGGAATTTGTGGCTGTATTTCCACATACGGGCCTATAAAAACACGTTGTTTTGTAAGTTAATCTTTAACGCAACAGTCTTGATCTATTTAGACATATGTGTCCTAATAATACTTATTTAATATTTTAATAAAGAATCTTCTCTGAACCAGGTGCTAGTAAGGAGAAAATGTTTAAAAGTTGTCGTAATAAATTCTTTCTAATCAAATATTTAAAAATGAAAGGTAAACTTTTATATGTATTGAATATATATTCACAAAATGGGATATTTACATTTTAAAGTGTCTGTACTAGTTCAGTTTATTTGGATTGGCAGTTATTTCAATATTCATCTGCAAATTATATTGCATTCAGTTACAGATATTGCTTTGTAACTCCACAGACATTCTCTCAACAATAAGTTGCATCATCACATCCAGAAAATGATGACCTCTTAATACTAGCAAGAGGGGAGATTATTTATATCTGTCATAAATAATTATTAAATGGTTACTAAGAAATTAACTGGAATTACACACTAGAATATTTTAAGATCCAGTTCATCAAAGCACTGAAACACTTAAATCCATTCCTGTTTAAAACAGCACTTAAGCACTTTTAAGTTAAAAATAGGTTTAAGCATTTTACTGAATTAGGATCTTATTGTTTTACTTACTTGATAATGTAAAACTAAAGCACTGTTTCAGCTAAGTATATAAGCATTTGAATTAAGCATGGGCATAAACTGCTTATGTTTAGGCATGTTTAAGTACCCTGATGAATCATAGCCTAATCTGTGAAGTCTAGATTTATTCTTGCTTTAGGCTCTTGGTTCACTAGAAACTTGTCTCTGTCTCATATTACAGAACTGTTGCAACTGGGTGTCTAGTTCAGAACCACTAGATACATCCGTAGAATCCATGTTGCCAGACTGCCCACGTGTCTCTGCAGGTATGTGTAATTCTTTATGGTGTGAGTATACATATGTGGTTACAAGTGCCAATGACTGAGCAATTTCATTACTTATACGTAACAATTTTATCACTTATTTTTAAAATAACATTTTGCTTTGGCCAAATAAGTCCAACAATATTTGTAGAGATGAGTGAACAAGTTAAAAGTTAAAAGAAGGTGGTTACTTGCCACATGTCACTTGTTCTGTGGTGACCTCTCTCTGCCTATGTTACATCACAGTAAGGTAAGTTTCCCGTAGTGAAATAGGGTTAGTCTATGGGGTTTTCTTTCACCTGTCACAGGGTAAGTATGGGCATATGGTTACCATGGAGCAGCTGATGTACAGTAATTCCCCACTCTCTCTCAACTCACTATAATTTTTTGTTTGTCCATATCCCAAGCAGCTAACTTTTAAAATTTTTTACAATTTATTTTGACTTTGTCTAGGAATGATATTCTGTTGTTTATTACTGGCTCATGTTTTAAAGGCCTTCTTTTCTCTTTGGGTTTAATTAATTTATGAGTTGTTATAACTGGGAGCTTAAGAAAAGTAATGACATAGATTGTGAAAGCCAGGAATTTAGCCTAAATTCCCCAGCAAACATCCAGCTTGATAATAAACCAAGAGGAAAAGTAACATTGGAATGAAAAAAGATTCACTCTAAAGCTTTGATTAATATATATATAGACTATACAACAATGCAAATCATTAAAATGTAAGCCACAAATTCAGTATCTATTTTCTTCTATGTTGGTGAAGTCTTTGGTTAATTCATTATAACACCAGGTAATGATTTCCAAAAAAAATAGTCTGAAATACTGTCACAGAACCATAATTTTTTAGTATCAGCTTTCCAGAAACTACAGGCACAGAAATTACAGGATTTCTGCAGAATAGAAAAACAACTTATACTACATCCAGTTAAGTAACATATACTACCTATTATATTCATGTTAATGCGAAGACTGTGATGTTCTCAGATGTTACACCCCAGGAAGCAGAACTGTTCACTTTGTTAGCTAAAAGTATAATATCTGACTATGCATTTGAAGTCATGAGCAAGTCCTGACCTTGTAATCAAAATTTAGTTAATGTCACAAGATTTTGTTAGGGCTTGTATGAAGTGATTTGTATTGTATCTGAGAGTTTGTTATAGCAGTCCTCTGAACATATTTGCATTAGAGCACAGGTAGATCTAGCTATAGGATCAGGACCTAAAACACTGTCAGTTCTGTAAAAATAATCTTCACTGTGTTTTCATTATTGCTGTTCTGTGGTTGGAAAAATAAAAATGTTGCTTCCACTTAACTAGTTTCATAAACCAAACTTTCTGTTTTTCTAAATATAAGTTATTGAGCCTTAAAATTAAATGCTGTGTAGTAATAGTAATTTTAGCTAACTTTAAGTTTAGTTTTAATTCTCTTACCATTGTACATATAATGCTACCATTATACATGTAGTAGAATGTTATGTACAATATAAGAGTACATCATAAAGAAAATTATTTGATTTTTGAGGAGTCATTTTGGTTAAGCAGATAACTAACAAGTGTTTGAATAACAAAGAGCATACACTTAAAATGCTAAAAGATTTCTAATTCAGCCTTTGTTCTGTTTCTTTATATCTATATTAATATAAAGTCTTTGATTTAAAAAATCAAATGTCAGCATATTCAGAATAAGGACTGATACTCTTTAACAGTAGTATGAGTTAAGAACCCAGCATTAATTTTAACTTCACATTATGCCAGAGACCTTGTTGAGTATAATTTTGATGTTACATTTGGTGAAATCCTGTCTTCATTGAAGTCATTGGCAAAACTACCATTATCTTAAATGGGGCCAGGATTTCACCCAATAATTATCTGTAGGGTATACTTAATGTTGTAAGCATTAACATTATATGAGGTTTTAGAAAACATTGTAATGATTTTGGCCAGTGAACTACCAGTTTATTCTCTAGACTATAACCTGAGCTATAAATAATTCCGACATTTTGCAAGTCATTCTAAATTCTCAGTTTCTTTATATGTTTTTGTTCCTATTCACTACATTTATTCTATTTCTTATGTAGACTTCTTAAGATTTTTTCAAAGGAAAAAAAAGGGGGCAATCACTACTGGAAATGTATATATAAATATTAATTTGCATCAAAACTGTTCATATTGATTTATTAAATGTTACTATATGTTGGAACATTTCTATACAAGGTGATAAATTTGATTTCAGTCCTTTTCTGAAAATTGCAGTACTGAAGTAATCCACAGTAATGAATTGGCAGCATTGTCCTTTGTATTTAAATAAAGGACAGTGTTTTAACCTAACCTGTAAGAGATTTTTTGAAAAGAAATCCTTCTCTGAGAATTCACCTCTCCTTTCTGCTTAGATCACCTCTCCTTTCACTTACATCAATACTGATAAGTAAATTCCAGGTTAAGTGAACCATACCATTACCTTTTGATGAAACTTCATGCATTAGCTTTAAAACTCAGGGTCTGATTTCAAACTGCACTTGCATATCAAGATTCATGGGCAGGTTCTAATTGTTTATGAGTGGTTCTCGGTTCATCTTATGTCATAGTCTTTAGTTTGTTGAGTTAATATATCTAATTCTACTTTACAAAGGAAAATAGGAAAGAATTTGTCATCATCAAACTGAAAAAAACCAAAGCTGAGCATCTAGAAAGTATTTTTGCAGCATTTTTTATTAGAATATTGGTGAAATTAAAACATTTTCTATAATAATTTATGCTCATATTTATTTACATAGAAATAAGAACAAAGAAAAGATATATTCTTGCTGCTAAGTATTGAAGTTAGGAAAGTTATAATGTGAGAATCAATTTATGATATTCTGCTTCTCTATTTAAATGCCCTTTCACAACCTAAAAATATGATATTGCATATGTGTCAATTCCTCAGCCTTTCAAGAATGCTTTCATAAACCTAGTATTGCCCCTACCTGTGGTCGATATTATTACAGGCAGTGTAAATAGTCTTTAAAACATATCACAACGTACAGTCCATTTATTCCACACAGTACACATAGTCCCCAAAAGTCCCAACCACTGTATATTGACAGTTTCCTCAGTTTCCTGCCAGTCCTGTGGTTCTTCTAGACTGTTTGCCGAACAGCCACTCTAGTCCATTTCAGTAGTCCTTCCCAGCAGAAACTCTCCAGTCTCTCAACCAGGAGTTCCCCACCCTTTAAGGCCTATGTGCTGACCCACCCTCAGCTGAGAAACACCTGACCTGTCTCAGGAGAGCTGATCCACTTTTCTTGAAGGGAGACGGCCACTATGTGACATGGGCACAAGGAAACAAACAGATACCCAATGAAGGAAATACAAAATGAGAAAGAGATTTATGAAGCAGTAGGTACAGAAAAGATTTAGAATTTCTACTGGTCAATGAAGTAGATATGAACTTGTAATTTGGTGTAGAAACCCAAAAAGACCAAACAGATTTTAGGTTTTGGAAGCTTGAAAGCAACGTGTTAGGGATAAATATGATACTCATTCCCTCATCCAAGGTGTAGTGAGACCCTAGAACAGTGGTGCTCAACATTTTTAGACTCAAGTCACTCTTCATTCGATTTCAGGCACCTCTTAGAAAAGGCCAAGTCTTAGTTTTCACTGGGTTTTTTTACTATAAAAAAAAAATAGCTTTTTTTTCTGCTGGAAGGAACTCAGAAAGCCCACAACAGGTCAGAATGTTTTTAACATGGAGGATTCCTATTTGCAGTTTCTGGATTTATCTTGTGAATCGCATTTGCACAACTATCAGTACAGCTGAATCCCCAGATTATTCAGAAAGTCATCCCATCAAGGTATTTGTGAGGAGGCTGAGGTAGTTGATTGTCCTCATAAGGCCCCACAATCTTATGTAAACCTTAGGAATCTGCAGATTTGGAAAACATAGCTCCTACTTCTCCGAAGTCTGACCACTTTTGGTAACCACTCAGAATCTCCCTTCATTATGCGTATTATGTTCAGGGACATCTGTCATTTTACTCTAGTGGTCAGCCTAGTGCTCAGTAGGGCTGTGTGAAACAGCTGTGTTTCATTTCAGTTTCGAATTTGGCCATTTCACAGGACAGTGATTCGTTTTGGTGTTTCAGATTTTTGATGCTGTTTCGGCACTGATTCAGAGATTTGGATCAGCTGGGGAGAGGCAGGCAGAGCCGGGTGGCTGCAGGTTCTCCTGCAGCTCCTCCAGCTGTGCCTGGCTCTCCCCGGATGGGAGGAGCCATGGAAGAAGCCCCCATGGCTGCCCTGCCTAGCCCCATCCCCTGCTTGGCCCCAGCCTCCCGGCACTTAAAAAAAAGCCCCACACTCACAGGCTGCAGCAGCAGTGATCAGGGCCTCTGAGGGTTCGTAGCAGAACTCCCCTGTGCAGTGCAGGGCAGTGGGGATCACCCCCCACCTGGCACCCGCATGGCAGCTGCCCCATAGCACAGGTGCAGCACAGCTGAGCAAGGTACTGCATCCTGTGTGGCTGCTGGGGCTGAGCGGTGCCAGGCTCTGGCTGACAGCTCCCAGACACTGCATGGTGCCCTGCCGAGCCACGCTGCA